TTTTATGGAAACTATATACTGTATATGAATGCTGTTCAAAGTGTGAATGGAGGACCCCTGAGGTCACCAGCTCCAGGAGGTCCCAACTTTTTCAACTAAATGTCTGTGAGGTTGCATTTTCTTCATAAACCAAAATAGCAGTTTGAGTGCAGAAGTAGATGTGAGAAGCTAATTGTTTCCTCTTAAGCAAGACATTAGAGAAGTTTGTAAGAATGTAAAACAATGCCACTCCTTTCATTAACTCTCTTTTGTTTGGAAAAATTTAGATATGTTTCATAAAAACATGTTTATGTTATATGCATTGGTTTTATTTTAAAATTAATATTAAATTTCTGCATTTTATTTTCTGATGTGATTAATATGGATAGACATAACTGGTGATATACTATATCCTATTGTTACCAACTCAAGAGAGCCAATGTTGCTCACCTCTTAACTCTGCATTTAGATGTGACATGCTAGCTTGAAACTAGCCATGTTGAGATTGTTTACACCATGGAAATGAGGAGAAACTACAAATCTAGCTTTTTGGTAGGGGAAGGAGAGCTGGCGGTTAAACACTTACCAGTGTATGACTAGATATAATGCACATTAACAAAGGTTCTTTGGGGTTCTCAAAATTAATTTCTAAATGGGTTTGTCAAGTCTATGGTAACATGTGATCAAGGCAGATTTTCAGCCAAGTGCTCTGTCTTTAGAGCCACTTTACCAGTCTCCTATACTGCATTCCAACCAGATTAAGTCCATAAAGTGATTTCAAGTCAAAAGGTATGTCATATCCTTTGTGGTTCTCACCATGCTAAGTACATAGCTTAATTACTTGCTGAATGATTAGAAACTACCAGTATTACGTGTAAATAAAAAATGGGGCGAAAAGATTCTGGGCATGAGTTAGTTAGAGAAGTCTTCATGGAGGAGGTGTAATACATGAGGTGGATCTTGAAGATTGTTTGAGTGGTGTATAAGGCTGTGAGGAAGGGGTTAAGCACATGTTAGAGGTAGATTTTAGTGTGAAGAGTTTGAAGAGTTTGTTGAGAAATAATGAAGCAGATGGAGTGGAAAGAAAATCAGGCTAAGGATTTGAAATTTAACTGGATAGAGCATATATTTTTAAAGTGGATCAAGTGTGAAGATGAAAGTGATGCTTTCAGGAGATTAATCTGGCAGATCTGTAAAGATTGGCAGGGAGTAGATCTAGGGCGGGTGCTGGGTAGAAATGGTCAATGGGGGAAAAAGGGGACATCTGTAATACTTTCCACAATAAAGATAAATTTTTAAAAATAAAATCAGCAAAAACATTTTAAAATTTTTTCAAAAAAATAAATAAGTAAAGCCAGGTAAACCTCTCTAGGTTATCTGAAAGGAAGTATAGGATGAAGAACCTGGGTAATTAATTAATTAATTTATTTTAATCCTCACCCGAGGGTGTTTTTCCATTGATTTTTAGAGAGAGTGGAAGAGAGAGGGAAAGACAGAAATATCGATATGAGGGAAACACATCGATTGGTTGCCTCCTGCATGTGCCTGGCCAGGCCCTGGGCTGGGGAGGATCCTGCAACTGAGGTACGTCCCCTTGACTGGAATCGAACTTGGGGCCCTTCGTTCCACAGACCGATGTTCTATCCACTGAGCCAAATGGGCTAGGGCAAACCTGGGCTTTTAGTTCATAAAGACCATGGTCAGAATTCTTCTTTTGCCACTTGTTCTTTCCATTTATAGATAAGATGTGCATAACTAGCCAGTGGGATTGTAAGTAACAAAAGGGGTATGAAAGAGTTTAGTATAGATTAAATGCTTGGTACTGTGCTAGGACCTTCAGTGAGAGGTATTATCAATGCTACTTTTACTACTGCTACTCTGCTACTATTACATCATTATTTGATAGATTGCAGTTATAATAAAGATTGGAGCTGGGGAACCTTCATTGCAAATAGGCCTATTCCAATCACTAATGGATATAAAGGATACAAATGGAAACATGGTATTTTTACATACATAAATGTTTTAAATCAACTAACTGTTAAGATATGGTTTTTCTCCTAATTTGACAAGTACAGCTTTAAATGTGATGGATGACCATTTAGTATTCTCAGGTTTTTCAGTTCTGTTGTAGAACGTAGTGGCAAAGGGAAATGGCCTTCTGTCAACTCCTCTGTGTACCTCCCTTTCCCCGTATCCAAAGCTCTTTCTTTGCCATGGCAAGTCCACATGCTCACTCCACAAGCAACCTTGCCTCACCCCTTATAAGCTATCTCTTGACTACTCTTAATGCCTCCATCTCCATCTTCCCTAGGATTGATAGTTCAGGGCTCTGCATGGGAATTCAGGGTCCTGGGAGTCTGCTGAGGTAGATTGCAGAGGAGTCAGAGAGCATGTCCCTGGGCTGTGCAGACTTTTCACTGCATGAGGAAGTACCTGACCAGTGGGGCAAAGTGGGTTCTCTATAGTGCCAGGCCCTGGGCAATGGCCCCTTTCGCCTAGGTCTCAGGGTGGTGCTGAAATGGATCATCTGACATGAGTACCAATTCAACAGGACTTGTTTACTATTAGTTATGAAATATGAGAAAATGATGGTGGAAAAGTGAAAGATCACTGGGTTCCAGGAGAATGATAAAGCCACTGAGGAAGTTAGGACAATATGTGGGAGCAGATGAGGTGGGACCCGAATGCAAAATAACTGTGTTTTATTTACCATTTTATCCTAATCAACTGATAGCACATTGCCAAGCACATTGCAGTGATGCAATAAATGTTAAAGGGCAAGATGAAGATACTTTGAATAGCTGTGCCAGAGATGTGAGAAAAAAAATCATTGTAGAATATAGGAAGAAATGAGGAAAATAAGTTCTCCTGGGGCCAATGTGGAGCTTTGAGGGAGAGACCATCTTGTTGTGAATTGGCATGGTAGTGTGTGAGCTACCTGAGCGTTTGCACCATGTATATTTAATATTTGTACGGTATGTGTGGTACTTAGCATAGTTGTGATTCTTAAATGAATAACTTAATAATATATGAGAACAGGCTTTAAGAAATGAATTGGATTTTAAGGTTAAAGTGATAAGTGACAAAGACAAATTTGTTTCATCAGTGAACTGGTATGGTGGCTAAGGAACTTGTAAGATATCAAGAAAAGAGATCTTGAGCAATTTTATTAGTATCAGAATGAGGTAGTAAAGGATGTAGTCATAGAGAAGGTATTGTAACTTGTTTGGAGAGTAGTAGAAGATGCAGATAACTGTATATTAGCTTGAATTTTCTAACTTGATATTCACATAAAAAGTTAAATACAGGGGAGCTTAAGTTGGAGAAAAGAATTAGAATTAAAGGGGTAGGTAGAATTTTCTTAGAAATAGGTATGTATAATTCATAGTCATTTTGCTCAAAGTTGTTCTGAAGTATTGTTTAGTCATTTAGTGTATAATAAATATGTACAATAATAATATCTCATGTCAGAAAATATATAATATTTCATAATGACAGTAAAGTAACAGGACCATTTGATAATAGGGTTAAAATTACCAAGTTCTTTTTGAGAATTCTGGTGTGTTAACTAGTAGATTATTGCATTTTTGCTGTATGCAGCAAACACCTGTGATTATTTTAGTGATCTTTGTCTTGTCTTGTTCAAGTAACCTCAAATATGTGTATTTAGACTGTTGCCTGTTCATATATATTGAGCTGTACCTGTTTGCTTTGTTATTTCTCTAAGTTTAATGGACCAACATAATGATTGATGGCAACTGTTGCTTAGTGTCATCTTTACCTTTAAAGAAAAAAGAAAAACAAATAAAACTAAATCATGCCAGACAGCTATGATGCTGTTTATGATTGACTAAAGGATCAGATATACTCTACTAAATTGATTTCTGATATTATGGGACATATTTAGGGCAAAAAAAGATATAACATGTATAAACAAATACACTTAAGTTCCTGTTTGTATAGCAGTGTTACCCTAAATTTACTTTATCAGCCAATAAAAATCATTAGTTTAAAATAGCCTTGCCTGTTCTCTTCTGAACCAAAGACTTCTTTTAAAAATTTTCATGAAACTGAATAATTATGCATGTCTTATTAGTTTCCTGACTTTTGTGACCTGCTTATGTATCTTTACTTATTTATTTTTAAGAACCAAATCTTATTTATTTTAAAAAGGAATGAGTAAAGTTGTGTCAGCTGCTAATCCATTTTCACTTTTACATCTCTGTATACAAGAAATTAGCAGGCTGATTCTCAGAATTGTTTGGTCTTTCATCTTTACAACTTAAAAGTACAGTTGTTGTTTTTTTCTCTCTAGTTGGTTTGGCTCAGTGGATAGAGTGTTGATCCACAGACTAAAGGGTACTGAGTTTGATTCAGATCCGGTCAAGGGCACATACCTCTGTTGCAGGCTCCATCCCAGGCCCTGGTCAGGGTGCGAATGGGAGGCAACTAATCAATGTGTCTCTCTCACATGGATGTTTCTCTCTCACTGTCTCTCCCCCTCCTATCCATTCTCTCTAAAAAAAAAATCAATGGAAAAATATCCTCTGGTGAGGGTTAACAACAAAAAAAATCAATATTTAAAGGTACAGATTTTTCTAGGATTGTTCTCTGTATTATTTGTCCTAACATATTTTTCTTGATTATTAGAATAGTATGCTCATTCTTTGAAAGTTCTCTTTCCTTCCCTGTAAAATCAAAACAATATCATTTTTGGCTAAGGAGGAAGCTTTTAAAAATATAGTCATGTAAAAAATACCTTAAATATAATTCAGTTTTAGTATCAGATCAGTTCCTGGACTTATTGGGGTGATCACTTCATAAGTTATATGAATGTCTAATCTCTATGTTTTATACCTGAAACTAATGTAATATTGTATGTCACCTAATTAAGAAATAATGAAAAAATAATTGTTATATCACAATATTTATTCATAAACTAAATAAATAACAGCATCTAGATTTTAAATAATTTATTTTTAATATTTACCTTATTCTTCTTGCTTTTAATATTTTAGGCCACTTGATCATTCTGGCATTTTATGGTAGAGAATACATTGAGTTTGGCTCATGGAAAGAATATGAGGTAATTGATCACATGTTCTCTATAAATTTTAAACGATATGTATGCAAAATATAGAGTATTTTAACATGTCAGATAAGATCTTATGTTTGAATTTTTTAGTAACATTTTACATATACAATTTTAATTACCAAGTTCTTTTTGAGGATTTTGTTTTAAGATAGGTTTTCCTTTCCTGATGGTCAGTAGTAGTTAATACTGTGAGGAATTTTCTTTTCTTTTAGAACTTATATATGTTTAAGAAAAAAGCAGTATTAGAGTGTTCTTCACTTTGTTATGTAGTTACAGTTATTATTTTTAAAAGTGTTGAATAACTTAGCTTTCTGTGGGACTTAGAAACGACAAGAGAACTTCTCCTTCCTACCCTCCTCCCTAACCTGCCCCAAGTAGGATTAATGGCATGCTGCGTTGAAAAGTAGTGGCTAGCACGTATAATTTATAGGGAAATAGTAAGAAAGAGCATTGATGCTCCTATAATGGGAAATTTCTAGGCACTACTCAGGCTCATTTAATGAGAAAACAAATATCAGACCCTTTGTTAGTCTTTTCCCATCTCTTTGGTACCCATGATGCATGGGTTTGGCAGTCTAAAATGGCAGTCAGTTAAGTGTACATGCTACATGCATTTCCACAATTGTTTCACACATTACCAGACATCAAGCTTATATCAGAGGGAATTCAAATTAAAGATAGTAAAATACAGCAGCTATCCGTATGTAATCAATTCAATGACATGGTAGTATTGGAGATCATTGGATTTTATTTATTTGGTGGAATAATTAGCTAACATAGTGCTGATGTCATAATTGTTCTACTCAATAATGGGTTGGTTATGTAGGAAGGTGCTAGAGTTTGGTGTGTGAACTTCTGCTTCCATTACAAGAGGCCTTAAGAAAGGTGAAAAGGGGGTGGGGGCAGGGGTTAGGGTGGGCTGGGTTGTGGGAGGGGCATCAGAGTTAGGATAAGCATTGATTCTGAGTCCTTGTAAACTGTTCATCTTTAATCTCTGAGATTATATTTGCACCCAAATTACTTTCTTACCTTTCCACATAGTTGAAATGAAATTGCCAGTCCTTTTAAGATGATAAAACATTGCTATTTTAACATTTCTTCAGTCTTCAGTTCCTATGAGAAGATAAATGTATAATCTCTTGGTTAAGAAACTTAACCAAGACTCAAGAAAAATTAACTGGAGCTATATCCTCCATTTCAAAACTGTTGTTTTATAGAAGTCCTCCAAAGAGTGCACCAAATATTCCCTGATATGTGTTCCAAGTTTTTATACTTTTTTTAATATAAAGTTGTAAGAAAGATAAATTGAATAGTTTTGTGTCTTAGACATTTGTGACATGATTTATAACAAAAAATGATGCATTTATATACAGAAGTTATAATTTAATAGTTTTAATAATCTTTATCATGCTATATTTAAAGGGATATAGTACCAACTCTTTCAAATAGTTTTCTAAGAAATCTTGCAACTTCATCATATTTCTCAAACCATTTGAATTGTCTGTATCAAACAGATAAATCTGACATTCTTTTTCCTTATCACTCAGTATTTACATATGAACCTAATAACTGTGAAAGCTTGTATGGGCCTGGAGAGAAAAAAAAGTTTCCATAGTATAGTTCTCTTAAAATTGCTTACAAATAATGTTTATTAAAAATAGTTTAGAGAAAATGTAAAGTAAAACCCAAAAGATGTGTGGGTAGAATCCTTCTCTTGTATTATTCCAAGAACCAATAGAGAACGATTTTATATGTGTCTTTTAATATGATTTTTGGACCATTCACTTTGATAGCATTAAAATCCTTTATTATATGTGAAATAAGGTAGTTGACTTGTATAGGGGAGTGATAGGGAAGGAAATGTTTGTTTTTACATATTGTATAGCATATACTTTACATTTATATAGATCACACTTTACAAAGTTCTTTTGTGTGTGTGTAACATCTTTTTTTAAAAATTATATTTTTATTGATTTCAGAGAGGAAGGAAGAGGGAAAGAGAGATAGAAACATCAATGATGAGAGAGAATCATTGACTGGCTGCCTCCTGCATGCCCCCCACTGGGGATCAAGCCCGCAACCCAGGCATGTGCCCCTGACCGGAATTGAACCTGGGACCCTTCAGTCTGCAGGCCAATTCTCTATCCACCGAGCCAAACCGGCCAGGGCTTGTGTGTGTAGCATCTTATTTAACTTTTCCCAGCTGGTCAGTTAGAGGGTAGGGGTTGTCTCCATAATATGGATGGGCAAACCAGAGACCCAGCGAGATTCTAGCATGCGAACCGAGATCTTGTGACTTTTACTCTGGCATTCTTATCCACTATAAAAGTAATTATATTCAAATTATTCAATAATTCAAATTTGATTTTCCAGTCATAAAAGTTCTTCAGGAGCCACCTTGGGACTATTGGTCGCCTTTAGAGCAGGTCCCTTTTGGACTTTTTTCCTTTGAGTAGTATTTCATTGGGAGATAGGATTTCAGAGCTATTCTGCTTTCATTTTTGCAAAGACTGTAAATTAGAGTAGCAATCTATGCCTCAGTTTTGTTCTTGCATTCTACTAAAAGTGATGATCAAGGTTATATACCCTTTCCTTACTGGCACTGTAGAGTTAGAAACAAGGGTTAAGCCTGGCATTTCTTTTACTTCTGTTCCTCTTCAACTAAGTTAATTTACTGAATTAACATAGTACACAGGATATACAAGATACTAGCTTTTTACCAGGGCCAATGACAATTGGTGTTGTTTTTTTTTTAATATTTTATTTATTTTTTTTTTTTTACAGAGAGGAAGGGAGAGGGATAGATAGTCAGAAACATCGATGAGAGAGAAACATCGATCAGCCGCCTCCTGCACACTCCCCACTGGGGATGTGCCCACAACCAAGGCACATGCCCCTGACCGGAATCAAACCCGGGACCCATCCACTGAGCCAAACCCGTTAGGGCATGACAGTTGGTTTTAAAATAGTAGTATAGGGTAATGTTCCATTATTTTTTCACAGTTCATTCTGAACATAGGCACTTTAAAGGGCAGCAAAAATGGATATTGACAAGAATTATTTTTTTCACAGTTCATTCTGAACATAGAGAGGCACTTTAAAGGGCAGCAAAAATGGATATTGACAAGAGTGAGGAAAGATTGAAGCCATGGTAGTTACTCATTTTGCCTGGGGAAAGGAGGGAAGAAAACTTAAAATCTGTTTTCAAATGTATTTGTATTTCTCTTTTTTTTTGTTACAAACTTGCAGTGAAAATCAATAAAGTAGCAAAATGACAGGTATGTTAGAGACTTATCGTCTTAAAAGCCCGGCTGAAATAGAATGAGTTTAAATTATAGAAAGGGTAATTTTAATTTGTCATAAAGAATACACCCCCTAAAAAGTCAATGAACTCTGGAATAGTAGAGATATTTGGGAGGTTAAACCCCTTAAAAAGATTCATGACCAGAATGGTTATTCAACTAAATACACATTTTATCTTTAAAATCTCTCCCAAATTTAAAGTTCTTTGACTTTCGTTGACTATAATTGTGTTGCTAATTGCTTGGAAACTTAATGCAATATGCACATGAATATGCTGTTATAACTAAAGAGGATACATGTAATTTATGGATATCCTTTTATTATTTTTTTCAGAGATAAATTAAGATAAAAATTGCAAGTGCATTTCAAATTTTGGATTATATAAAGAACTGTAATGCATTTAATCTAACAGAGAATATAAATTTAATCTTATGTGCACTTAAAAAATACTTGATAGAAATACAAAGGAAGCTAACAGTCAAGAATGTGAGAATAAAGCTCTATCCTTTATCAAAGTAGTCTAGAGCAAACAGCTTATAGGTTTTTGAGTTAGTCAAACCTGAGCTTGAATCTTGGTTCACCCACTTATTAATTCAATATCTTTATGTAATATGGGATAATAACTATTGCCTTGCAGACTTGTAAAAATTAAATAAGGGATATATGTGAAGTACATAATCCAATGCTTGGCACAGAGTAGTGCTAATAAGTGATAGTTCTCTTCATTTCCCCTATAAGTCTTATAGTTTCTCTGGAAGTTTGGTTCAGGAAACCAGTAGACAGGGCGGAGATAAATGGGCATATTTTGTTTTATTTTAATTAACATAATTGTCTTAGATTCCCTTCTAACCACTACTTACCCCACCCCTCCCTCCTACCCCAGCTAACACAAGTCAGCTTACTACTATAGTTATCTTGTATTTCCTTTGTTAATCTATACTAATAAAAGCCTATGTGCTCATCACGCCCTCACGCTGTGATGTCCTCACGCTGTAACAATACGTCACCAGGAGACTGCATGCGTAGCGGGCGAGCGCGGGTAGGCGGGGACTTGACACTACGTGCGCAGCACTGAGGTGGGTCCTAGTGGCTCTGCGGCTCTGCGTGGCGCAGAGGCGGGACCCCCCGGCTCCGGCCTACCTCTTTGGGGAGATGGATCTCGGGGCTCCCGCACTGTGAGAGGGCACAAGCCAGACTGGGGAACACTCCCCCCCCCCAAGTGCATGAATTTTGTGCAGTGGGCCTCTAGTTTTATAATGATAACCAATATTTATTAAGTGCTACCCATGTGAGAGGCACTGAGTAAATACCTTATATATACTCACTTAACCTTCACATTATCTCTCTGAGGGAAGTAGGTCCTACAGACCCATGATTCCTTATATTCACTTGTGAATTTAAAAAGGCTTTAAAAAATCACCAGTTCCCTAAGTTTGTGGCAAAACTAATTTAGCCTCAAAACAACTCATGGGTTTTTGAGTTAGTCAAACCTGAACACTTTGAACGTTCATTCATTTAGCTACAGGAATGTTAATGTGTGTGATTATGGGTTGCTGCTCTAGATCCACTTGGGGTGTAAGATATCTGGTAGTACTTTCTAAAATTCAAACATTTCTAAGTCATGTGACATATCTGGCCCAGGGGCTAAGAATAGGGTGTTGTGAACCTGTTTCATTATTCTGTTTTATATATGAGAAGACCGATGCTAGAGGATGTTCAGTAAATTGCCAGGGTTTGAATGGTATGTTAAGATGTTAAGTAAATTACTCAGGTAATGCATGGTAAAGCCAAACTTAAACCCAGCAGTCTTGTTCCGGAGCCCAGACTTTAAAACCACAACACTGTTTTACCACCCAGTTGCCAAGGCAAGATTGAGCTTAGTTGGCACAATGTTTATGTCTTAAGTTGACACAATTGCTTAGTTTTACTAATAGAGGAAGGTGTATACGAAAATAACCCTCTTATAATTTATATTTGGGTGTGAAATGTTATGCTTTTCTACAATCTCGGATGGATGTATCTGATCCTAGAAGTCCCCTAAATATAATGAGCACAGTCACAAAGGCCTCTTGTGTCAAAGTAGAAAACTGTCTAATTTCTCTTTTGTCACTTTTCATTATTTTATATTGTCTCTCACTCAAGCTAGAAGTTGCTTGTTTTGACTTTGTTCAACAAATAATTATTTAATGCCTGCTATATAGTAGGCTAGAAATACAATAATGAACAAGAAAATTTTGGTTCCTGTCTTAATGGGGACACTATTGTCATTGTGGATGGGACAGTACTTGGTGGGATCCCCACGTAGCAGCATGTTTAGCATATGTGGTCCAAAGTGGCTCCCCAATTGTTGTGGCAATCTAAGTGGCCCCCAAAGTTTCCAGAGTCCCCAGATGGGGAACAGGGTAGTGGTATACCTGGATGTTATTCACAGTCAGTCCTGAGTATAGTAGCTGTTCATTTGCTCATCCACTATCCAAGTTGAATAATTAATTTATTTTAAGCATTTCTTTTTCTAGAATCCTGACTTCATTCAATGTAAACAGAGCTGAGAGAGCTACCAAACAAGTAACTACCCTGCTCACACTCTGGGTGCAATAACTAAATGGAAAAGCAAGATTAATTGTGGGTACATTTAACCATGGTTAATTGAAAATTCCCATTATACTTTATAAATAACGAGCATAAGTTAGGCTCCTAAGTTAACATACCAAGTGATGCTGGATTTTTTGAGTGATAGAATCAAAGTCTCTAGGACTTTACATATGCAAGTTATTTCACAAAGACATAATATAGCATATTTATGCCAAGTATATTCTATAGCACACAAACATTTCTGCTTTAATTTTTGAAGTGACATTTTTTCTAAAAAATATTTTTATATTTTAATTGATTTCAGAGAGTAAGGAAGAGAGAGAGAGAGAGAGAGAGAGAGAGAGATCCATGATGAGAGAGAATCATGGATTGGCTGCCTCCTGCAAGTTCCCCACTGGGGCACTGGGG